CAGGGCCAGAGGGAGACGGGGAGCTCCGGCTCATCCTGGTCGGGAAGAGCGGCGGCGGGAAGAGCGCCACGGGCAACACCCTCCTGGGCCGGGAGGAGTTCGAGTCCGTCCTGGCAGCAAACGCCACCACCCTGCAGTGCCAGAAGGCGCAGGGAAGCTGGAGTGGCCGGCGGGTCTCGGTGGTCGACACGCCAGACTTCTTTCCCTTGGGAGCCTTCCGGGGGATCGTGTACTCCGAGATCCGGTGCTGCGTGGAGCTCTCCTGGCCCGGCCCCCACGCGCTCGTGTTCGTGACCCAGGTGGGCCGCTTCACCGCCGAAGACGAGGCGGCTGCGAACCGCGTCCTGGATGTGTTTGGGGTGGAGGCCGCCCGGCGCATGATCGTCTTGTTCACCCGCAAGGAAGATTTGGGCGGGATCTCCTTGCAGGACTATGTGAGGCGGTCGGGCAACCAGGCCCTCCAGAAGCTGGCCCAGAGGTGCGGGGATCGCGTCTGCGCGTTCAACAACCGGGCCGAGGGAGCGGAGCGCAAGAAGCAGGTCTCGCAGCTGATGGAAGCGGTCCTGGGGATGGTCCTGGAGAACGGAGGGGGCCATTACAGCAATGAGCTCTACTCTGCCATCCCCTTAACGGATGAAAGCATCAAATCTTTTGTGGCAAAAAACCAAAATGCCCGGAGGAAGTTAGGGGGAGACTGGCTGTTGAATTACAGGTGTTACTTCATAATTCTCAGTCTTCTTTTCTTTGTAATTTTGATTGTCATTCTTGCAGTCATAATAAACGAAGCATAGATATTTCATGGGGCAACAGCAGCTCATCTCCTGCAGCCTCGTTTTCTGATGATTTTAACTGTCTTCTGTCCCTGCTCCACACAAGCTAGACCACCAATGCTAATCAGAATTGCTGCCCATTTTCTTAAGGGCAATGACTGCAAGAAATAGGAGGTTTAACCAGCCGTGGTCTCTTTTATCATAAATAATAGGACGAATAGTACTAATCACAGATTGTGCACACGTAAAGGACAAAATAGTGAATATTCGTGTTATGCATGAAGAATAAATACGTTATTTGAAGTTGCTGTAGGAACAAGTAAGCTTTCTGACCTGGAATGCAGTTCAGTCCTGGGCTGGTTTCTGTGTGAGCGGATCATGGAGTGCCTGCGGAGAGCCCTGCAGGCAGAAGTGGCTGAGGACGGGGCGCCACTGATTTAAAACGTTGTGCAGAGAGGGCAGCACATGGCTTGGAGTGCCCCCAACAGCGGCCCCGCCTCGCCTGGATCGGGCCCGTTTCTTGGCCCTCATCGGGCCTGGCGGGGGGCAAGGGGAGCGCGGTGCCACCTGCGTGCTGGTGGCCCCCTGGCCCATGCCCCCGCTCTGCCTCCCCCACCGGTTTCACGCACACCTGAGCAGAGGGCCCGGCGGCACCCACGGCATCACCGCCGTGGCGCAGAGCAGCATTCCCCAGCGCCAGCGCCTTTCACCGTGGCAAAGCAGTGCCTCCAGCTCCCGACCCGGCGGCTGCCGCGAGGGGCACCGGGGCAATGGCCCCAAGAGCCGCCAGGAGGGCCCAAGGCAGCCCCACGGGCGCCCAGCGAGCTTCCATCCCGCCACCAGGCCTGAACCCGGCCGGCCGGTCCGGGCCACCCGAGAGTACGTGGGGCCGTGCCGCCGCCACCCGCTCGGCTCCTCGGCCAGGAGGGCAGTTGGCCACCGGCCTGCAGCTGCCGGCAGCGCGGGGCTCCAGTTTCGGGAGCGGCTCCACTGCAGCCCACTAAGGAGGCGGGTGCCCCTCGCTCCCCAAGGAGGCCTTCACGGCCCCCGGGACCGAGCTCAGCCCCCCCGTCAATTCCAAGCAGCACCCGTGGCGGTCAGGGGTCCGGCATGAGGCGGAGGCCGAGCTCGCCCACGCACCCTGCCCATCTCCCGGCCTCCGGAAATGACGCCCGTCCAGTGAAGCTGGACCAGGCGCTGCTCCGGGCGCCTCCATAAGAGCAACTGCGGGAATTGCGGTGTCCGCCGACTTTCTCTTCAGAGGGCAGTGCAGGTCCGTCGCAGCGAGCTAACGAGGCTCCGCAATTACCTTCTCTGGCCCAGATGGTGGTGGGCGCCGCCCACCCCGTTGCACAGCAGCAGGGGACCCCGGGGTGAGCTTCCTTCCCTGAACCGGGGGAGTTTGGGGGCGGAAGTGGGGCGCGTCGGCTGGCAGGGAAGCACGTCAGCGTGGGGGGAATTTTGGGGGCGAACAGCAAGGCGGGAGGGGCGCAACTCTTGCAGCCACGCCTGGTGCTACGGAGGGGCCCCGAAATGGCTGCCGAGCGGCAAGGCGTGGGATTCGGCCTGAGCGAGGGAGGCTGCTGCCCAGCCCAGCGCGCGACGGGGGCCACCGGGCAGCGTTCTTGAAAGGCGCGCTGGCAGCTCACATTTCGGGGGGGGGTGATCTCAAGGCCGGCTGCTTCCCCACACTGGACCCAGCCTGGGAATGGCTCCGTGGAGCAGCCAGCGGGAGGGGCCCCTGGGGGCCCAGAGCCCCCCCCAATGCGCAGCAGCCGCCTCCCCCCCCCCGTGCTGGACCCCACGGCCGCCACAGGAGCAGCTGCTGGGCCGGAGGGTCTTCCCGGGCCCTGCCAGGAGGTGCCAGGATCCCACACGCGCCGTCGCTGCGCAGCCACGTGGGAAGGGCCGACCCGGCAGCGGCAGTGGCGGTGCGTCTTCCTCCTTGGGCCGCGCTCAGGGCAGCGCGTCGCCGGCTTTCCCAGCTGAGGCCGCTTTCTGCAAACGCGGCTCGCAGCTGCCCCGAGGAGCGCTGGGCGTGCGGGGGGGCGGGGGGGCGTCCCTGGCAGCGCCTCCCTGCGCTCCGTTCCCGGGACACGAAACGAAACGCGGGGTGGCGCGGCTGCCGTCACAGTCCGGGGGTGTCCTGGTGCCGTGCGGGGCCCGCTGTGCGCCCCTCCCCCGGGGGACCCCTCCCAAGAGGCCCCGCCGCCCTCCTGGGAAGGCTCGCCTGGGTGGCCAGACTGGCGTGGGAAAGGCCCGGGGGGGCGGTTCCCACGAGGCCCAGCATGGGGCGCACCGCCAGAGCTGCCAGCCGGAGAAGCCCTGCGCTTCCCTCCCTCGTCCACAGCCAAAGGGCCCTCCTGTTGACTGCCCACTTCCTCGGGGCTCCAGGCAGCGCCGCAAGTGCTTGCGGGGGGGGAGCCCCAGGTTCCCCAGGAAGCGCCACGCCTGCATGGGGGTGGACCGTGGGCTCGCCCTGCATTCCTGTCGCTGCACCAGGCCGACACTCTTGGAGGGAAAGGCATGTTTAATAAGAACGAATTGCACTGCACAGAAGCCAAGCCGGAGTGGGGCAGCCGGGCCAATGCCCGCTTGCCCCGAAGCGCGAGGAGGCGGCGGCTGCGCTTGTGCCTCTCGGGACCCTCCTCTGGCACGGCGGGTGGCTGCAGGGGGCGCGAATTCATTTCTGGGTGCCCTGCTGGTCCTCACGTGGGCCGGGAAGCCGGTTGAGCCAAGGGCCGACAGCAACAGCCTTCGCAACCTTGCCGTCTTCCCGGAAGGCCTTTGCTCTCTGCATCACAGCAGGACGCACCACTTCGGCCAGAAACGTTTGTCTCCCCCTAGCATTTCTTGGGTATAGCAGGGGGCATCTTTGTTCCTCTTCACCAGGGCCTCGATCATCTGGATCAGCTCCGCCACCTGAGCCTCCTTCTCCTCCCCTGCAGCCTTGTTGTTGAACGCCAGGCACCGATCCCCACAGGCAGCAACCTGCCCCCTAAGATCTGGGTTTCCTTGAGATATAAGCTCCATAAGAGGCTTGCCTCTCAGGTCCTCCTTTCGGGTGAACAAGATGATCATGTAATTCTTTGCTCTGAGGCTGAAGGCCTTGTGGATTAAGCCAGCGACCGCCACCTCCTCCTCGCTGAAACGCCCCAGCTGAACAACCTGAATGATGGCGTGTGGTCCGGGAAAGCAGTAGGGCACGCATCTCCTAACCTCAGCTGATATTTCCCCAAGTGTGCGTGCTGTATCGAAGAAGCCAGGCGTGTCGACAACCACAATTTTCCTGCCCCCGTGCTGAGTTTCCTGTTTCTCACTTTTGGTGGTTATTGAAGCGAACGACACCCCGCTCTCGAAGACGTCATTCCCCAGGATGGTGTTTCCTACCGCGCTTTTCCCACTTCCAGTTTTCCCGACAAGAACAATCCTCAGTTCAGGCACTGTGATCCGCAAGCGAGAGAACAGAAGGTTATTTGATCCGTTTCGTTTCGAGACTGCACCATCGCTAAAATTCCCTGGGCAGCTCACAAAAAATACACAACACAGTAGGACAATACAGTATAGCCCCATTCAGCGTTCGGGGCTTCAGTCTTTCGTGGGATTTTTCTCCAAGCAAGTGCAAGCCGATCTCCTTGCAAGTAAACCAGCGCCTCCCCACAGAGACCCGCGGGGCCTTCGCATGATGCCGCTGCCCCCCCAGGGCCTCCCCAAGCCCTCCGGCCATTATTGCCTGGCCGAGCTTTTGCAGAGCAGGGAAACTTTAACTCGGTCAGGAGCAGCAGCCTCTTGGAAAGGCAAGAATCTGCCTTTGCGCAACGAGCGGCAGCGCCACCCCGCGGTTGGTGAGTGGAGATGCAGAGCCCAGGGGAAAACCGGGGGGGGGGGGGGGGCTCACAAGGGGCCGAGGCCGTCCGCTGCTGCCCCCCCGGGCGCCGTGCCGGGTGCGCAGGCCGGGCAGGGGGCAGCGGGCAGGCGGACTGTCCGGAGCTTGCGCCGGGGGAGAGCCTGGCGGATGCCCCGGACCGGCAGGACGCACCAGCGGCTCCCGGATCGGGCCGAGCCAGAGCCTTCCCCGGGAGCGAAACTGGCAGGACTGGGGCACCTCGTGAGAAGGCCGGGCTCCCTGGGGAAGACACTCGTGCTGGGGAAAGGCGAGGCCGGCCGAGAAGGAAAAGCAGCGGGGCACAAGCCGTGGCCACTCGGGGGCAGCGACATGGAGCCCCCCCCCCCAGTCACGCCGGCCTGTTTCCCAGAGACCTTCTGCCCGGGGAACGGCCAAAGGCAGTGGACACAGGGCACCCCGTGTCGGGGCGCATGGGACGCCTGGTTGGGCCCGAGACACCGGCTCTTGGCTGGTTTGTAGTTGCAGGCTAAGCGATGATCATGAATTGCCTACTTTTAATACTGGATATTCCTGTTATGGCTTAGAATTTTTAAAAATTCTGTAAATTGTGGTGTTTCTTGCCTCAGGTATTTTTTAGTGTCTTGTATATTGCTTTAATGTGTTTTGTAAACAATCCTTAGAGGCCAATGTAGAAACATAGAAACAGAGCGAGTCAGAAGGGACCTCCCGGGCCATCTAGTCTGACCCCTGGCTCCAGCCGGCTCCGCTCACAACATGCCCACCATGTGCATGTCCAGCCTATCCTTGAACACCCGCACCGAGGGGGCCGCCACCACCTCCCGGGGAAGCCCATTCCACACCCTGGGGGTCCTGACTGTCAGGAAGTGCTTCCTGGCCTCCAAATGGAACCTGGGTTCCCTGAGCTTTGCTCCAAATGACTAATTTCCAATATGACTAAGAAATTTGTCTATGATATTTTTCTTGACTCCAAGAAAGCCGCAGCCTTAAACCTGGGGGAGGAGAGCAGGGCAGCGGTGGGCAGGAGGCTTTGGGGGT